CAAAACAAGATGGACCTCGTTGATCAGTGCGTCATTGATCCGTAAGCGTAACGCCTAATTTGCTTAATTAGAGGCGCAATATCGAGTAATCTCGAGCATAGCATTGTTTCAGGGACGAAGCTGAGAGACTTGGTCGTGCCCTAGGTTGTAAACTTTTAAGAACGTCCGTGAAAGAGGACGTTGGAGTCATGAGCGTCTTCCGGCATTTGGCGTCACGATGTCTCCACGAGATGCGTCGTTGTGACGACGATTATCAGGACGATTTGAGATTATATTCTGCCGGGCCTAGGTCTCCTTCTGTAATAAGTGAGTAGATTCTTGTCTCTGTTTTCTTCTCGTCGAATTAAGTGATTCGCGTGTAAGATTTTCCAATGCGGCAGCAGTGACACCTTTGCTTTATAGTATATACAGGCTGTTCCATGATAGGAATTGCTAAATACCGTTAGTATTATACAGATATCGATAAATAGGAAATATAAATTTCATTTGAAGAAATCTAAGCTTATAACGTTGTCAAGCTTTTTAACCTTTTGTTACAGCAACTAACGAAAGCAACAGGTATTTTAGAATACGATTATTATTACACATCCGAATACTAGAACTACAATAGATATAGAAAAGAAGTAAATATAACACATATCGATAAAGTAGTGGTTGAATACGTGTTTACCGAATGTAAACGTATAACTTTACTTTACGTAATAAATATACTTCGTACAAGTAACTAGAAACTATTCTCGAGTCGTACGGCTAGAATACACATTAGTATATATCCACGAACCGTTCCATGAATAACGTCTAAAGTTTCTACCTACATTTCTTGGTATTAAATTTACTAATATCAACCATTTTTAACGTTTATATATTTGCTTTTAATTCGGATTCAACAAATTGATATTAAAAATTGTGTAATCATGTATTAGCAACTTTATGTAAACTAAGGATTCATTCATTTCAGGCAAGTGTTGAAGAACGTAGAAAATTGCTAATGAATGGTATCACTGATCGTGGTTCGCATCGACTATTAAAGGCGACGATTTGTACGAATGAAAACAATGGAGCTACGTTGATTCACACGTGGTCGATCCGATATAGGCGCTGACCGGTTGTTTTAACCGGTAATAGCTGTGTGAAAAGAACAGTGCGCTTTCTTGGAAACTCTTCGAGCAGATGCATAATGTATTAACTGTGCCGGATACGCACGCTTGTACTTACGGGTTGAGTTGATTCTGCTGCCTCGTCTTTAAGTATATCGTCATCACGTTCATGTCTCGTGAGGAGACAGATGTATCCAATTGGATTCGGAATAGATCTTTGTGATTTTTTTTGTTTCATGCTTTTCCCTTATTATTTTCTTGACTCAAAACACGTGTAGAACGTTTCAATATCACAATAAATTGAACAAGTGATCTACCCTGTATTTACCCTGCAAATATGATGGGTATATAAACAAAGCTACTTTAATTGTATAAAAACGTGTTCAATGAAGTCTTTCAATAGATCATATAGTCCAGGGAATTTAATGTAAGTTTTTTCGAGATTAAGTAAAGTCAGAATAATTATCTAAATAAAAATCACACGAGATATTTTAAAAATTATCTAACGATACTATTTGTCCTTAAAAAAATGTAACAGAATCATGGATAATTTAGACGAACTTAAATGTAATGGAAAAAGTTTGTTTAAATACTGATATTATCAAATATAAATATTCATTGATACTAGCTTAGTGTCGAGAACTTTAGGCAAGTTCCTGTAGGTTGAAAGTACATCTTCAGATCGCGTGACTGTAAGCATCGATCTTGATTCTTGAATAACACGCAAGTATATGTATACAATGTACACGTACACACAGATTCCCATATTTTTCACGTACTGTCGGACATTACTCAAAGAATAAAGTTCTTTACTTTGAGTATCAATAGCTTCGGTACGAAGAAACCTTTTTAGACAAACTGGCTCTAATGAAACTGAAATTAAACAATGACTTAACAATGAATTAAGCTAGAATCATTCAAATCAGAAATTTAAAAAAATTACTTTTGCATAGTGACTTAATTATACATTATAAGAAAGTATAACAATTAGAATGATCTACTTTCACATTGAACGAAAAGAACAATTATAATTTGAATACGAAAATATTTAGAGTATAATTTTCAAAGTGTTTCACAAGCATACATGGTAAAAGTGTGGGAACAGAACGAGAATCGTACTTACACCACTAAATCAACTTTTATCGTTCTTGCGAAATATTTTATACAAATAGGTTTTCTTCTAGTACACTCGTTAATTAGGAATTTAATAAAGAATATACAATATAGCAGTTGATCGCATGTATTTAGTTTATTTGTTAACATAAATTCTACAAGTAATAGTTTAATGGTTTAGAAGACAGACAGTATTTACAGAAATAACACACTATATTAATTAATGTATATAAATCTATTCATAGAGTACATTTATTTAATATAACACATTAACGTGAACGTGAAACGGAGTGTAAGAAGTACTATAAATTCGAATACCACTAGCTATCTCTAAATTACAAATTTCATTTACGAAAATATATGTATATATCTGTGTTATAGGTGCATTTAGCCCGAATGGATCCACGTGTGGTCGGAATACAGGGAATGGTACTATAGTTTTGCGGCCAGGAGCCAAGACAAAGAACCATAAGAAAAGGAATTTTGTAAAAAACGCTTGTAGGCTATTTTAGTCTTTGCGTGGATAAATACATAAAAATTTTAACAAATACTTCAACGATGTACAGACTGATATATTCATATTTATGAAGATATAAATAATTATTGTATGATTGTTTCGACGCCTACATAGTGGTCTGACGATTCATTGTTATGAAATACGCACAACGTAGAATATCAAAGACATGACGGAAAAAAATGAATGCGATCCTTGAACAGTATTGCTACGTTGATTAATTTGTGATACACACTTCCCCTAATAAACAATTATAGAACTGCCACTAAATAGTTCACTTCAACTTTTTTTAATCACATATTAAATGTTCATTCTAATTATGAATGAAAAAAAAAAAAAAAAAATTCAATTCATGTAACTAAACATTTTGCTAACATAGATATTTTCATTAATTAAAATATAAGGAAAAAGAAAAATAATTTTGAAGATATATGAAGTACAAAATAAAAAGGAAACTGTAATGATGAGAAAATAATGTTTTTATATATTTAGTTTTTTCTTAGTGAATATTATTAATTTTTTTTTTTTTATTTTATCAATACCATTGCAATAAAATTTACTGTGTTAATACATCAATTTTTTAAATTTTTGTGCAGTTTATTGTTTTAAATTTTTTCTGTATGATCTTTGAGTTTTCATTTAAGTATTTCTTATAGTACTTTTAGGTTTCTGTAAATATATTATTTGTATGAACGTTAAAAATGGACATTGTATCATTTCATATGTTGTGTCACATAATGAATTATTATATTGTAAGTAACCAGTAAAAAGAGCTAATATTGCAAATCCAAATATCGTAATTTAGTGAAATAAAATGTTTATAATTAAAGTTATTTTAAATCATTTCAAATTCTGAAAAAATATAATAAATTTTTAATTTATGTGTAAACAAATACTGATGTAATGATTAACCAAATATTCTAGTTTATAAGGAAGGAAATATTATGTCGGAAATAAAATACTCTTTTGTGAATGACAATGACAAAATATCAGTAAAAATAAATTGTTATAATTTTGAAGGAATTTATGTTAATTGATACCATCACAAAATTGCGAAAGATTTTATAAACAAAAATGAGTATTAGAATATGTATAAAGAATATATTATATAAATTTTGCTATATTGTGTTTGAATTATATGTTTTATATTATTACTACTGAGTTCATGATGTAAAAAATCAGATATTACAAAAAACTTAATTTTTACATAAATATTTTTATTATAAACGTAAAGTGATTTAGAGTTTTAAACTTCTATTAAAACGCAAATAATGTATTAAATATACAGAATACTGTAATTAAATCCATATCAAAAATAAAAAGAAAGAATAAAGATTGTATGACTAAAACAGCTTGGCAGTACACTTGTATATGTATGAATAATCTTTATATCACTAATGGTAATTATGTGAATATTTTAAAATGAAAAAAGTTAATTTTTTTAAAACAGTGCCAGACTGTACATAAATTCCTTATTCATTTCATAATAAGTATAATATGTAGAAAATTATAATTTTTGTAGTAAATATGATAATTCTATCTACAACCCTATGATAAAATTAAATTATAACTTTTAATAGTATTTAAAACATGAAGAGTTCAAAGCCACATTTTTGATTAGAATTTATATATAATTAACATTAACATTCTTTAATATTTTTTTTTTATAATGAGAAGCACTAATAATTTGAAATAGTCAAATAATGATAGGTTACTATAGCACAGCTATATATCATCAGAATGACTAATCAACAATTACATGTACAATATCCACACAAAGATAAAATTTCATAATATTTTAATAATATTTATATGTCAACATTTCTTTTTAGTAAAACAAAAAAAGAAAAAAGAAATACTAAACATTTACTTTTATTAATTCACAATCAAATTGTTAAAGTTTATCTAACATAAAACATCATGTATTGCACACATTTATATTATTTATTTTGCACCTTTTTAAATATAGATTCCAATGAGGCTATTACTTTTAACAATATTTCATTTCTTAATGTGCACAAGTGTAATGTGCACAAAAGCTTACTTGCACAAATAACAAGGCATAAAAATAGTATATGTAGAGAAAATAACCTACATTGTATGACACTTTTTCTACATTTACCATATACATCACCACTGAATTATCATCAAGCACCCTACATTAATTAGCTTTTACTTTCCTCAAATCTCTTGTAGGACAATTAAAACAGATCAATTGTTCATTTAAGAAGTAACTTATCTGATTTCCTTTAAAATCAGTTATTTCAAGTGAAGCTTCATAGTAATTGAATTGTGTGCATTTTATCAATATAATCTAATAATCCTTGCAATCTTTTTCTTATTCGTTTTTGATCATCTAAAGTACATCCAAGAATAGCTGTTTCAAAGTTCTTATCAGAATGACCAAAACTGTGTGAGGTACAAGCATTCATAAAAGATGCACAACGCTCTCTTGTTCCAATTGGATCATCACGAAGACCAACAACTAGGCTATCAATCAAACCATTTACCTGAATAAAAAAATTTGTTTTGTTAAGAATTATACTAAGTATGAGACTGAATCTAAATTATGTAATATAAAGAATGATTAATACTTTATATAATGCTTCTTGTTGGATTTGATCACGTTCGATTTTTACCAAGATATTAACTGTTAAACATCTCATAGACAATCTCTCAGCATATCTCAGTACATCATCCTTGTCAGCTATTTAGGAAATGACATGTAATTTTAAATGATATCCTTATATAGGTTATGATTAATGAAACATGAAAACAATGATATATATAACAATTATTAAGATATAAATATAACAACTATTATTTAACATCATAATAACATTTATTAATATTATAAATGAAGATTTTGTAAATAATGAAGGTTTTCTTGAGATGGATATATTAGACTTGACATTACACTTAAAAATAAGTAAGATAAACACTTACTTTCTCCTAATCCATTTAGGTCTTCATTATTTCTAAGCGCGTCTAATGTGGTCAAGAGGGTATCTCTCTCTTCTTCGAGCCTCCAAGCATCTTTTCTTAGTTGTTCTACATGTACTTCAATTTGATCAAGAAGGCTGAATAACTTGTCTTTTGGTTTTAATGAACCACCGCAATCTGCGTTTTCCACAATATGTGGTAATGCAGTATTCATTTTCTCTCAATTTTTACAGTAGTTCTTAAAAAAAAAACAGCTTTATCTTTACGCAATTATAAACCAAAAAATTATATTCAGATACAAAATAGAATATAAACGCACTGATTGAATACGAATTTATATCGTCGAAAGTGCGATGCGTATACTGTGCTTGTATTCGCAATATGAAAAGATATGACTGACGAAGCATGTACAAACACATATAAAATTGACAACCGAATTGTCAATAAAATAGCGCCAAATTTAAGTATTTTTCTTGTAGTGGTTTACACAATTAAAATAAATTACAACACGAAGCAAGTAAACTTATTAACATACTTTCACAAAAAAATAATGAAATTGAACTGTATGTGTGTCCATTCCTACTTATTTTTAAAGATAAAAATTAATTGATTTTAATTTATTATAGTTTAGAAAAAAATGTGTATACCCTTATTTATACCGTATTTATTAATTCAATTATAAATTTGTTAAAAATATTATCAGTATCAAAGTTTATGTACCTTTAGAACTAATTTAGTAAAATAATAGTATTAGTTGAATAAATTGAACTTTCAAAAGCAATTTTTTAATTTTCCGTGTTTAACTGTTACTATGTACCATTAACTACCTAAATGCGTCATAAACGTTTGTAATGTATAGATTCTTAATTTGTAATAACATAATATTATAATGCATATTAAAAACAGTGTAATCAATTGATTATTTAAATTAATAATATTTATTGTATTCTTAATTTCGACTGCATATAATTTTATACTAAATAATACTTTGTTGCTGATTTGATGTAATTTAATACGAAACACTACCTTTTTCCGGTTATAAGTTGATACGGTTTGTATTATTTTTTCCTATCATCTTTTAAAATCCAGTTTTTCCTTAAAAATCCTATCTTCTTTTTTTAATCCTATTTAAGCTCTTCTTGATGTAAATATAAATATTTTATTTTCAGTACAGAAATTTATAGAATTCAGTAGTAGAATAAACATTTTTCTTGTTTGTTCCAGGTGGTTCTAGCTGTACTCATATTGATAATGGTAAGTGTTAAATATTTGTCGTCAACGTTGATTTTTTGTAATTATAATTATAACTAGTTTGATTTTCTTATTATGAACAATAATATATTATATGCGATGAAATATTTCAAGTACATATTAAATTACGCAACATAACCTCGATTTAATAAAAATCTAAAGAATACAAGTAATGTACAATACTTTTTCAGCCCCGAGAAATTAAAGAAATCAAAGATTTCCTCCTTAAAGCTAGAAGGAAGGATGCAAAATGTAAGCATTTAAGTCATAAATTTGTGTTTTATTATATTTATAATACAACACAATATATATTAATTTATTCTGTCTATTTTAATAATTTAGCTGTAAAAATCAAGAAGAATACCGAGAATGTTAAGTTCAAGGTACGGTGTTCACGGTTTTTGTACACTCTTGTCATTACAGACAAAGAGAAAGCAGAGAAATTGAAGCAATCTCTTCCTCCAGGTATTTATTTGTTTAAATTTGTTTATTAATATATTAATAAACAATTGACAAAAATTTGTTTTCTTTAAAATAATATTAATATGTATTTTAGGTCTTCAAGTAAAGGAAGTAAAAAGAAGTGAACGTATGTGAATAAATACAAATAAACTAACTTTTTAAACATGTATTGTTTATTTCTTCTTATACAAAAATATGATTAAAAAATGATTAAAATTATAGCCTAAAAGAAAGTAATGCTTTGGAATCAATTTAAATTTTGTCTATTTGATTTTAATCGTTACAAAATTTTTACTTAGCTGTTACAAAATTTTAACAAGATAAAATGCATGGCTGATTTAAAAAGTGTTTTCTTCTTTCAAACATACATTTGTAAATATTTTTTCTTTCTCTTGGCAAGGAACACATCAATTTCAGTTCATCATATGTATCTATACATATGTTCCCACTATTACACGTTGGTCTTTGGTCATAAGAATACGTGTAATAAATAAATTTTTTTTTACATTTTTTTGTAGTATGTTGTATATGCTGTTTTAAATAGCGTTTTAAAAAACAATATTTCCTTTGACATGGTCGAGTTTGAAGTTTAATGTACTGGGAGAAGAATATTCCTAATTCATCATCAGTTTCATTTACTTCTGACTTATATTTCAATGAAACAAAAGTATTTCCTTTATCATGAATTAATTGTTCGGATACAGAAATAAAAATTTGTTTTATACCGAAATTTTTTAAATTATTAATTTTTATAGATGAGTTGTTACTTATATCCTTATCTGATGTGGATACTGTGCTAGGACTTTTAATTTTTGGCATTTCACTTTTTGTTGTATCTGTTGATGACTTAATTTTTCTTGGATATCTAGTATGTTCATTTAAGTTTAGTCGAGATTTTAACTCTTTTATTCCATATCTTTTATCTGTATTAATCTTGCCTAGAGTACATATAGATGACTTAATTTTTCTTGGATATTTAGTATGTTCATTTAAGTTTAGTCGAGATTTTAACTCTTTTATTCCATGTCTTTTATCTGTATTAATCTTGCCTAGAGTACATATAGAAGTATTTTCTGTTTTTGTATTTTTTTGTAACAGTTGATAATTTCTTATTTTAACTATATTAGATATATCCGATAGCGTGGAACTAGTATAAGAATTGGTTGACCTATATAAATGCTTAAAATTATTACTGTATCAATCTAAATTAAATTTAATAATATTTGTCATTTGTCAATTATTCAAAACCTTTTTAATTTGTTCGCAAATACATTTGGTAAAATGTCCAACTTAGTATCTATGGTATCTGAGAAATATTTTGAATTTGCATCTATATTTTTTGTTAATAAAGAATATGGTGAATAATTTGAAGTGAAAAGTTTGTGTTTTTGTGACTTATCACTACATGAATCCATATTTTCAATTTTGAGTTCTATTAGTTTGGAACTGGTGCTATCCTGTCTTTTCGAGATATTATTTTCAGAATTCCCCTTGTACAATAAAGTTTGTTTATTATTCTGTGTATCAACCTTTTTTGAAAATAATGGAATGACTAAAAACTTTAAATCTGTATCTGAGAAAGAAGTATCTTTGCCATTCTAAAAAAAAAAACATGTAATTAGAAAATTATAGTGAATCTAAAATTAAATATTGAATGGATACCTGATATGGATGGTTATAAAAATATCCTACATTTTGATTATTTAATTCATTGCATTTATAATTTTTAATATCTCTAATGTTCCATTTATTTGATATTAATTTAGGTACATTTTTGTACTTAGAATGAGTTGATGAAAATGACGAGAAAGACATTTTCAAGGATAATTGTTTTGTTAAATCTATACTATTAGTAGAAGTCACTATTTCATTTTCACATGGAGCAAGTAATTTCTTCTTTTCCTAATCATAAATTTTTGCATATTTATACATAAAGATTAAGTTATTGTAATTATTTGCATATAACAATATAATATAATTCTTGTAGTACTTGTAAAAGAGTCTTTAATTTATATTTATTTTCATATTGTTTGTTCCTTTGACCACCATATTTCATATGAAATGTTGAAAAATTACATATATTAGATCTAAAAAATTGCCTTTTAGCACAAGAGTCGCTTCCAATTTCTTTTAGGATAGAACTGTTATCGCTGTTGTCTTTGTTTCGCCAAGTTATACATCTTTATGAATGTAATTTTAGTATAATACCAATAACTGAACATATATATATATGTATATATATAAGTATAATCAAGATATATGTTGTATAATATAAACAAAAATATAATGAACCTTTTAAAAATGTAAATGATTTGTCCGTAGATATATCGATAGCACATTACAAATATAATTATTAAAATCAAAATGATGAATAATATAAGAAATATTTTCCAGAAATTGTTAGAACCACTTTCAATTTGATGCATATTATTATATCTTTTTTCAGTACCAATTATTTCCAACCTTGTCCGTTTGATTTGCATATTTTTGCTTGTAATAGTATCAACACAAATGAGTAAATTATAAAATAAAGTTATTTATAAAATCACTGTGTTTTTGAAATTACAATTCATACATGTATTAAAAAAGGTTCATTCATTATTTATTGGCAAGAATATCTAAATTCTAAAATAAAACATTTGAATCTATTACATGCTTTTACCTTCTTTGTTTTCCTTACAGATGTGCTATGAGTATATTATGAAAAATTCTAAAAATAATCAAATTTATCATTTACAATATCTATATTAATTAGAATTAATACTTTTTATAATCAATTACAGTTCATAGAAGTGCTTAAATCATAATTGGTATACAATTTTTCTGTATCTATACTAGAACTACAAGTTACGAATGAATTTCATATGTGTATATATTTATCAGTTACAAATTATTTTATACGTCATGCATCTTGATTTAATTATATTATAGAAACAATAACTGAATAACGAATTTCATTCCAAATACATGAAAGTAATGCAGTTTGTACTAATTAATTACTATAAACGTTATGCATTACCAATATTTATATTTCTTTTAATCTTATGACAAAATTTCGAAATATTTTCACACATACACTAAAAGATATCAATGAATAGATGTATTTAATGTATTCAGTGAAGTATAAAATAATTAGATAATATGTTTCATATTAAATTCACATTTATATTCTTCATTAATAAATTCCAAAATTAATTTAGGAAGTTCCTTTCGGGTTAATTATGGAATATATCGGACTTTGTAAAATTCTTAGAGAGTGGGAAAAAAACGTTTTACATTTTGAAAAATATAATAAATGAAATGACATAAAAAAGTATATATAACATATATAATACGTATGAATACAATATACGTAGTAGTGTTAACCCTTTTAAAGCGTAAGACAAACAAGATTTACAAAGCCAGATTAAATGTTGAATTACACTGTATTACCTGAAAAACTTAAGCAATCTGTTATATAATTATTACAATTTATTATACCATAAAACATATTCTTGTATTTAGTACTGTGAAGTAAAAATTTGAACAATATAAAATGTATTAACTTTTAAAGTATTCTTCATCAGTTTATTACGCTGTAAAAGAGTTAATTGCTTCATTTTGAAATCTTTTGATAAAAGCAAATTACATATATGCATATACATTTACATATATGTATTAATTTTTATAATTTTGCTGTGCATTCACTTATTCATCACACTCATGATACGTGGCTCTGTAAACAAAAGAAATGAGATAATTAAATATAATGTAAAAAAACTCAAATATAATCACCTTTGTTTATCGATATTTCGTCGAGATAATCTTCTTCCATGTTCATGTGTAGACAATGTATATCGTTTCGTGTGAGGGCGATTTGCTCGAAGTTCGCGTGCTTCGGTAGTCTTAGCTTTTTCCACTTTTTGCATAAATTTTGCAATTAACTCTGGACAATTTAAATTTTCTTCTGGTTCCCATGTATCATCTGCTGATGTAAATCCTTTCCAACGAATTAAAAATTCTTTTGTTTTATTCTTCTTAAAACGTACTTCTATAATTTTTTCTACTTCAAATTCCTTTTGATCATCTTTTACAACACTTTTTTCTTCATCTGATGTTATTTGTTTACCTATATTTAATTTAAAAAGTAAATGAAATATATAAATAGATAATTATACAATATAAAAGAATATCTTTAATTAATTTATTCCACATATCTATAAATTATCTATAAATTAATACCATTTTCAGTTTGTTTTTTTATATTAGTTTTGAGTTTTTTAGATTTTTTATCAATCTTTGTAATTTTATTTTTTGGTGATTTTGGAGAATTTTCTAACTTTTTAGACTTATTATCTTCTTCATTTTCTGCATTTTCAGCTAAAAATTCTTCAATTAATTCCAAACAATTTAAATCCTTTTCTTGTTCCCATGTATCAGAATCTTCATCATATCCTTTCCATCTGACTAAAAATTGACGCCGACCTTTGATAGTACGTTGACTTACAATTCTCTCAACCTAAATAATTAAAATATTAATTATTATATATAAGTAATAAATTTATTCTTATTGAATACTAAGCTAATATTATAAAAATTACTTTTATGTAAACTTATAATCTTTTAAATAAAAGTTGAAATATGAAAACCCATATCATAAAGAAATTAATATAATTTAATATTAATTAATAGTTTTATTTGTATTTAACTATTCGTTATTAAAAATTAATTATTAAAAGTACAGATTATAGTCCTTTCTTCGAAACAAATTAATTTAATATGCATCATATTTTGTACATTTAAGATCATTCTTGTTTTATAGTCTCACAAAACTATTCAACATCGTGTCCTTAATAGACGCGGTTTTTGTTGCCGTGTAAACATAATTGCCATATATATAATAAACACAATAAAATATTATTTTTGATATACCTCATACTCCTTTTCATTATTTCCGTCTTGCTTTGTTAAAGGAGATGGCTTTTGATCTCCTTTTTTGAGTCTCTTACTAGGTCCAGCTTTTCCGACATTCTTATTTTCTTCTTCTGCATCTTGAGTATCTTTTACATCAGACTTCAGATTAAAGTCCTCAGTTGTTTCTTTCTGGTTATGACGATTACGAGATAAACGTTTTTTGGCTGATCCTCTACGTGGTGATTCTACATTCTTATTCTCCTTTCCTTTCTTCATTTCGTCGTTATTGTCAGCTATGGTCAAATGTCCGTCGCCATTTTCTTCAGAATCGCTATCACTAATTTCGTATTTGCTACGCTTGGTTTTCATACTCAATCTACGCATACTATTTTTACAGCCAATATAAAGTTTTTATGTTTTTAGTAATGTCTATCACAAACTCGTAAATCGCGCGAAGTACTTACACTCTCTTATCTATATAAATTCACAACAATTTTATCCCGCGTCCCCGCAACGGAAACAGTTTGGCGCGTTACACAGTGAAGTTCTTAAGCAGTGTATCGAAGCAGATTTCGATTCAACGCTCTGTGTGAAGATAATAACTTTATGCGTTTTTATTATTATTTTATACAATTAATAAAATTTATATTTCCATAAATTTACTAATTTAAATTTTATAATATTTTGGTTGACTATATTATATTGTGATATATATATTTAAAAAAATAATTTCATTTGAATCCCATTCTCACTTCCTATGACCGTTACATGATTTAAAAAAATTACGAAATATATTTTTCGCAAACAAAATTTTTTTATATGAAATATACGTTTACAATATAGATACTTAATTTATTGTTCTTTTTTTATATTTTAAAAATGGTAAAACCCCTTTTACAACTTCAAATTTTATTTGTTTTGTGATTTGTAACTTGTCAATCGATATTATTTCAGGATCAAACAAATTACTTTTTATATGTTAAAAATTTGTATGTCTCTCTTAAAAATTATTTGTTCATTGCAAAAGTTTTTGAAATTATTAAGAAAATTTACGAAAGAAAATTTTAAGATAATCGATTTTAAATTTATTTTAAATGCTATATTGGATTTTTAGTATTGATTAAAAAGGAATAAACCATGCTCGTATGAAGTTAATGTTCACATTGTAAAATGTAATAAAACGATTAGGCGTTCTATGAAAACTATAATTAATAATGTAAATCTATGAAATTTTTTATATCAGATTATCCTCTTTCAGATTATGCTGTTTTTCAAATTATTTTATTCAAAAAATGATTCGTAAAAATACAATGATCGAATAAAATAACGTATTATTAAATCAATATTTCGTTGCTTTGGCAACCAAACATCAGTTCATTTCTGATATTAGGCTAGTATTTTTTGTATAAACATTAATATTTTTACTGTTTTTCAAATTATGGCTAAGTCTGTAACTACATATGAAAAACCTTTACCACATATAAGTAAGTGTAATTTCAAATTTTGTCATATCACAAATGTTGATATTTATTTTTTTTTACTTAAATATGATAATGATTTTGTATATTTCTCAATTTATATATTATATTGAAATATTATTTGAATTTTAAGAATAAAGTACAGTTTAATTGCTATACAAAATATGCTTTACATAATAGGTTTAGCAGATTGGTATGCTAGACAATGGAAACTTCAGCAAAATGCAGCTTTCAGAAGTGCAGAAGCATTTGAATTAAGAAATACTGGAAAAATTGTTTGTTCAGAAACAATGGTAAAAACCATATGGGACACATACATGAATAATACCCGTCTTGCAGATAGGTAACAAATAACTTAAGTCAGATATAAGACAAATTTTATATCTTATATGTATAATACTATATGATACATTTATGTATGTGATACTAGGGTAACAGAATTATCACGTTGGAGAGAATTGTTTAAGAGTTTGTTAGCTAAATTAATTGCAGAGATAAAGTTCTTACAAGATGAAAAAGCAGACACGGAGCAAGAATTAGACATTTTAAATTATCCATTACAGTTAACAGCAGAATGTATATCTATGAGAGATTGTCGTAGAGGAACAGAACTTACATATGATGAAGCTGATACAGAATTGAAAAGAGAACTTTGTGCCATTGAAAATGTTAAAAAATCACTAACTGATAGGTATATTATAAATATAAAAATGTTGTATGTATTTAAGTGTATGTTTATGACTATGTATTATTTTATATAGAGTACAAGCTGCCTGGGAAAAATTAAATCGTTTAGAAGAAGTTAAATTTACAATACAATTAGAAGTAGAAGATAAAGATGAAACCATTAAAATAGAGAAAGAAAATCTTAATTTAGATCGAACATGTGCAAATATTAGCTATAAACCAAATGCATTAAGAACTCCAAAAGGGTAATAATAAAACATTTGCATGCAGTGTATGAAATAAATGTATAAATATATATATATATATATATATACATTTACAATATATACAATATATATAACTTCTATTGTTACAGTTCAATATCATATGAAGCATGGTTGGAACACTGCCGTTATACTAAAACTTTTGCTGATAACGAATTAAGCGATGTATTTAGTTTCCGAGAAACTATGAATGTAATGCGTGAACGTGCTAGAAACGATATTAAGGCTCAGCAAGACGTAACAGATTTTAGTTTACGAAAACGTATCTATCAGACGCAAAAAGCTAGAAATGAATTAGAGTGGCAAAAACTTAAGGTAACTTTTAAAAGTGAAATGATTATTAATATTTAACGTATAATATATCTAATCATAATTTGCAGATACAAAAAGAAATGGAAATTTTGCAAAAAGAAATTGTAAAATTAGAAGGAGCATTATTACATAAAATTGATTCAATAAAATGTGCAGAAACAAGATTAGAAAATCGTACTTATCGTCCTGGTTTTGAACTTTGTTATGATGAAACTGAATTAGGTTTGAAAGATGAAGTTTTACACTTGCGTCAAACTGAAAAAGACTTAACAAAAGTTTTGGATAATTCAAAGTATGTACAATTATGCATAACTTACATAATATATTTTGACATATTTGTTATAAAGTCATTAGAATATTATTTTATTTCGTATATATATTTTTTCTAGAGGAGCATATAATAATTTGGAAAGTTTACTTTTGCAAGTTGATAGAAATCTAGATGATAAACAACATTCTTTAGCAACAGATGTGATGTGTTTAGATATGAGAGCAACGTTGAAAACGGGTGACAGAACGCGATTACGAAACGAAACGGATCGTAACATAGTTCTTACACGTATGGAGAAAGAGATACCACTGGAATCAAGAATAAATTAAAATGTTTATATCAATTTTGTAAGAAAAACGTTCACTGAATATGTAAAATGTTTTATTTATCATTGAATGATGTTTTCATTATATCCCCTTGGTATTTGAATATGCTCATGTATCAATATTAATAGAATCTGGATTAGCTTTAATTAAACTGTATTCTGAAATAAATGTATCTGTCAATACTGGTTCTAATGTTTTTACTGCTCTTCTATGTAATTCTCCAACTTTTTTTGGATCACCATGTTTCATTTCAAATGTAATATAATTTATCCAAACACTTGTATTATTTTTACCAAACTGTAATGTCGACATTTCATTACATTTTCTTACATGTTTTAACGATATTTCAGGTTGCATAAGTTCTAAGTCCACCATCTTTTTGTGTAATTCAAGAGAAAAAGGAGGTTGCAAACAAAGATTATCATACATTTTACGTGCCGCATGTATACCTAAAATAATCGATGATTATGATACAAATAACAAATAAAGTATAGACGTTATAATTTAGAATTACACACTTTTTGTTAAAACTAGCCATTCAATGTAAGTAAGTTTTATCTCTTGAGAAATACTTGGATATCCTTGCAAAGCTGATTGAAAAACTTGTTCAGTTTTTTCAGGATACTTTGCTTGTACATGTAGTATTCTGATTTTCCACAAGGGCAATGACTTTTCTGCAAGGGCTTGTATTGCCTAAAAAATTATCATGTTTATATATATCTAATGTTATTAATATGATCAATTATTAACGTTTGTACTTTTGAAAAAACAGTTTCAGCTTCTTCTTCTTCTCCTGAAGCAAATAAGTATCTTAACCTAGCATGCCAAAGACTTATACTACTTGGTATAGTTTCAGTTGCCATGCTTAAAATTTCTTTCAATTTTTTTTCAGTAATTTCATCTTTTTTTTCAGCACTTAGCATATTGACCTGTAATGATATTATTATATATTAAATTTATTTTCTAATTTATTTAATGACTATTTATTACATATGTTACTAACCCAATACAAATAATATTTCTCTTTTAACCTCTTAGCTTGGTGTGCCTGTGATAGGGCTGTTTTTAGCAATTTTCTTTTAAAATTTGGCAGAGCTCCAGTTTTCTGATTAATTTCTATTAAACATTCTATATAAAAAGACCACATTTCTTCAGTTTTAATTTTTTTAATGGCAGTCTGATAAACCTTATTACAAGATGTTATACGGTCTCTTAATGAAATTTGTTCTGAGCTATTAACTTCCACTGCTGTATTATTAACAGAGGGTTGAATAAGTCCTTCTAATTCTCGCCGAGCCATTGTATCCCACATTAGGGGTTCATGAGTATATTCTTGTATCATATCACTAAAAATAATTGGAATTACTGAAGATAATTCATAATTTTATGAAATTTTTTTACTCTTACCTAACAATTTTATTTTGTAATTTTTCTGTATTTTTATGCTCCTTTGCAATATTCAATAATTCTATTATGAATTTAATATCTTTAATACGTTTTGATGCTTGTTGGTATATAATATAAGCTCTTTTTAGTCCAATACTCATATCATCATCAGTTCCTGTTGACATTTGATACTTAGCATTCTCAGCATTAATTTCATTTTTCTGATCATTACCTAATACATCATCCAATTCTAATCTAAATTACAAAATGAATTAATAAAATATAATTACAAATATGAAGAATTAACTTAAATATGAAAACTTACTTGAAAGCATCAAGAAATAGCAATTGAGATGTTGGATGTATGTGTAAACCACGAAGAAGAAACTGACGTGCAGTCTGTTTATTTTTATTTTCTTCTAATTCCCAACATGCCGCAATATGCCAACATTTAGGTTTATCTTGATGGACTTGCAACATTCTACCTAACATGTGACTAACATTGCTGTGAAAATGCTGTCACATTTTACATTATCATTTACAAGTTAATAAATTAATAGCATTAACATACAGAATTATAATTCAATTACTTACAACATGCTTACAAAATTTTATATAGGCAACCCAAAAGCGAATATCATCTTGAAATTTAAATATTGCATCTTTATACAAATAATTCATTTTATTTGTAATCGTATGATCAATATCTGATTTATTTTGTGTAATACCAAATTTCTACGAAATAGAAAGAAATTTATATATATTTATATGTATTTAAATTCAGTTAAATATGTATCTATTAATGTGTAGTAACATACATCTCTGCGTTGTTTAATTAATTTAAGTAAGTCCATTTCATACTGTATGTATCTTAAATAGTCTTCTTTAGTTTTTGTATGTCGTTGAATTTTATATTCGTATTCCTTAAGCTTTTTTGCGATTCCTCTATATAATTTATGGGAGTATAAACAATTCATTAAAGTAAATAACGTGTACAAAATATAACCTATTTCACTCACCGAATTTCATTTTTATCAAAAAGTTTAATTCTTTCCATCTGTTCTAATTCAGGAATCATATCCTCACATCGTTTTTCTACAAATTCCGCCATTTTTCTCTTTTAATTTGCTAAATGCAATTTAACATAAAATAGATGGACTGGATTTAAACACATCTATACTAAAAACTATTTAGTGATGTTACAGACGTGGTACGGGGTAAATCTTACATCTTCCAGAGTTTCAAACCACATGTTCTGAAATACCGACTTTAACAAAAATTAGTGTTCCTCACGCCCTCTACAATGTTCTACAGCGAATATAGCAAATACAGCGGTATTTAATGACGTACGTATGAAGAAAACGAAACACGAGAGATATAAAATTTCTCATTTTTACTTATTTACATATATACCTGGTTCAACAAGAATTGACAGGAAATATAAACAGCTACACGCGAGCGACAAGTGACCAGAACAGGGCTGAAACGTAATATCTAGATCCCTACACAGTTGGGATATGTATGCATCATCTGGGAGTCCTTTTCAAGGGCCGCTAAAAAGCATTCCTGAGCAGCAACATTCAGCAGCTACGTATTTGCGATCGCACATAGATAAATAAATAAATAGAGTAATTGCTCTTATAAACATTGATTTACCACCATGTATTTTCTTTGACCTCGAAAAAGATTTCAGGGAAATTTAGAATGAATTATGAATGTGTAAGTCAATTTACAAAGAGAGTGCAAGTACTTCGGGTCAGAGATTTAGTTGAAACTTTGCAAGTTTGTAGATATCGTCATGGAGTTTAAGAAAATATATCAGTATAGTATTATATAATATTAAAATTTTATTACTTCCATAATTATACATTTATTTCCAAACAATTTTTCAGTGGAGTCGTGGCTTAATAGCAACAGTTGAGAGTTTTTATGATGAAAGACGGGTGTTCTATTCCCGTTTATGGCTCGTAGTTTTTTCAATCTATTTTTTATTTCGTATTCATTTTTCCTCTATGAAAACATTATAAATAAACAATTGCAAATAAAATTTCTTAATAAAAAGATTTATTTTTTACGCTTTCTTATACTAGTATTTATTACAAAATAATAAGGATATTATGCAAGAAAAACACTTTTCTATAGCAATCTTATTTACTACAAAAAGAAAACGAAAATATAAATAATCATTAGATACAGGAGATACAAAACGTATCGCTCATGTAAGTATTAATTATTAAATTAAACATCGTATAAGAATGTTGCCTATAATTCCAACTTTGCAGTGTAGCTATAAATGTTCATGAATTAATTACAAAAACTTGGAAATTTATTAATTTTCTATAGCCGAATTGATTTCTAGTATTTAGTTTGAATCAAAATTTTACCGCCTGCGATCAGCGCCATCTATGATTTTAGCTCATTTGCTCGGAAAAGTGATAGGAATATAGAATAGGCAAGGAGGTCGTCGTAGAGCTCGGCACGTGACAGACAATAGAGCTCGGCACGAGACAGACAAGGACAGAGAGGGGATAGAGAAGGATAGAATGGCTCCGGCAGTGAATAATTATTAATTACTCAATTTCCGTAAACAATTTGTGAACTTTTATAATTTCGTTGCAAAGCTGGAACTTCAGGCTACATTCCTATATAATTTTCGTAAAGAATTTTGCTCTAAATTGTTAGTTATTAATTTTTGCTTTATGGCGTCTATGATTTCGTAACGGCGACCATCACGATCTTCCGTGAAAATATTTAATACTCAACGAAACTAGAAGC